AGAAAGTGCAAAGGTTTGCAACAAGACTAGTCCCAGAGCTAAGAGGTATGTCCTACGAGGAGAGGTTAAGGGAAATCAACCTGACGACACTGGAGGACAGGAGAGATAGGGAGGACATGATAACGACTTACAAAATACTGAGAGGAATTGACAAGGTGGACAAAGACAGGATGTTCCAGAGACTGGACACAGCAACACGGGGATACAGTTGGAAGCTGAAGACACAGATGAATCAAAGGGATGTTAGGAAGTATTTCTTCAGCCACAGAGTAGTCAGAAAGTGGAATAGTTTGGGAAGCGATGTAGTGGAGGCAGGATCCATACATAGCTTTAACCAGAGGTACGATAAAGCTCATGGTTCAGGGAGAGTGACCTAGTAGCGACCAGTGAAGAGGCGGGGCCAGGAGCTTGGACTCGACCCCTGCAACCTCAACTAGGTGAGTACAACTAGGTGAGTACACACACACACACACGCACAGTGTACAGGGGAACAGGGAAACAGTACCTTAGTGGTACAGTGGACGGCGAGACAGTATCATAGTGGTACAGTGGTCGGGGAGACAGTATCATAGTGGTACAGTGGTCGGGGAGACAGTACCTTAGTGGTACAATAGACGGGGAGACAGTATCATAGTGGTACAGTGGTCGGGGAGACAGTATCATAGTGGTACAGTGGTCGGGGAGACAGTATCATAGTGGTACAGTGATCGGGGAGACAGTATCATAGTGGTACAGTGGTCGGGGAGACAGTACCTTAGTGGTACAGTGGTCGGGGAGACAGTATCATAGTGGTACAGTGGACGGGGAGACAGTACCATAGTGGTACAGTAGACGGGGAGACAGTATCATAGTGGTACAGTGGTCGGGGAGACAGTATCATAGTGGTACAGTGGTCGGGTAGACAGTATCATAGTGGTACAGTGGTCGGGGAGACAGTACCTTAGTGGTACAGTAGACGGGGAGACAGTATCATAGTGGTACAGTGGACGGGGAGACAGTACCTTAGTGGTATAGTGGTCGGGGAGACAGTATCATAGTGGTACAGTGGTCGGGTAGACAGTATCATAGTGGTACAGTGGTCGGGGAGACAGTACCTTAGTGGTACAGTAGACGGGGAGACAGTATCATAGTGGTACAGTGGTCGAGGAGACAGTACCTTAGTGGTACAGTGACGGTGAGACAGTATCATAGTGGTACAGTGGTCGAGGAGACAGTATCATAGTGGTACAGTGACGGGTAGACAGCACTTTAGTGGTACAGTGACGGGGAGACAGTATCTTTGTGGTACAGTGACGGGGATACAGTATCATAGTGGTACAGTGGTCGAGGAGACAGTACCTTAGTGGTACAGTGACGGGGAGACAGTACCTTAGTGGTATAGTGGACTGGGAGACAGTATCATAGTGGTACAGTGGTCGAGGAGACAGTACCTTAGTGGTACAGTGGACGGGGAGACAGTACCTTAGCGGTACACTGACGGGTAGACAGTACCTTAGTGGTACAGTGACGGGTAGACAGTACCTTAGTGGTACAGTGGAAGGGTAGACAGTACCTCAGTGGTACAGTGACGGGTAGACAGTACCTTAGTGGTACAGTGACGGGTAGACAGTACCTTAGTGGTACAGTGGAAGGGTAGACAGTACCTCAGTGGTACAGTGACGGGTAGACAGTACCTTAGTGGTACAATGACGGGTAGACAGTACCTTAGTGGTACAGTGACGGGTAGACAGTACCTTAGTGGTACAGTGGAAGGGTAGACAGTACCTCAGTGGTACAGTGACGGGTAGACAGTACCTTAGTGGTACAGTGACGGGTAGACAGTACCTTAGTGGTACAGTGGAAGGGTAGACAGTACCTCAGTGGTACAGTGACGGGTAGACAGTACCTTAGTGGTACATTGACTGGTAGACAGTGCCTATGTGGTACAGTGGAAGGGGAGACAGTATCATAGTGGTACAGTGGACGGGTAGATAGTGTACCTTAGTGGTACAGTGACGGGAGACAGTACGTTAGTGGTACAGTGACAAGGAGACAGTATCATAGTGTTACAGTGACGGTAGACAATCTCTTACCATCATGACAGTGAGACAGCATTATACTGCGACAATAGACAGGGTTTCTCGGCATAATAGACAGAGAGACAGAACTCACTGACAGTAAAAACACAGATTTCCTAATAATCAGCAATATAATACCCAATAAAACAGTATCTTAATAACCCGACAAAATAAAGATACCTTAACACGATAAAGATAGAGATACCTTAAGAAAGTGACTTGGGTCATAGAAAACGTAATGTAATAAGGGAAAATAGTAAGGATTTTTTTTCCTGCTTTATTGATGGTAAACAATTTATATTTGTCAATTATCTTCAATATAATCAAAATAAAGTTAATAATGAGATGTTATCAGTAAAGGAATGATGTAACAGTGACATGACTGTTATAACAGTGACTTGACTGGTATAGCAGTGACATAGCTGTTAGTTACTGTTACTGTTATTCATATCACTGTTATATCAATCATGTCACTGTTATTCAGGCACTGTTACGGTTATTCAGTGATATGATTGAATAACGGTGACATGAGTGAATAACAGTGACATGATTGATATAACAGTGACATGACTGATATAACAAAGAGATTGACTGAATAACAGTGACAGTGACTGAATAACAGTGACAGTGAATGAATAACAGTGACAGTGACTGAATAACAGTGACAGTGTCTGAATAACAGTGACTGAATAACAGTGACAGTGACTGAATAACAGTGACAGTGTCTGAATAACAGTGACAGTGACTGAATAACAGTGACAGTGTCTGAATAACAGTGACAGTGACTGAATAACAGTGACAGTGTCTGAATAAGAGTGACTGAATAACAGTGACAGTGACTGAATAACAGTGACAGTGTCTGAATAAGAGTGACTGAATAACAGTGACAGTGACTGAATAACAGTGACAGTGTCTGAATAACAGTGACAGTGACTGAATAACAGTGACAGTGTCTGAATAACAGTGACTGAATAACAGTGACAGTGACTGAATAACAGTGACAATGTCTGAATAACAGTGACAGTGTCTGTTTAACAGTGACAGTGTCTGTTTAGCAGTGACAGTGACTGAATAACAGTGACAGTAACTAAATAATAATGACAGTGACTGAATAACAGTGACAGTGTCTTAATAACAGTGACAGTAACTAAATAATAATGACAGTGACTGAATAACAGTGACAGTGTCTTAGTAACAGTGACAGTGACTGAATAACAGTGACAGTGTCTGAATAAGAGTGACTGAATAACAGTGACAGTGACTGAATAACAGTGACAGTGTCTGAATAACAGTGACTGAATAACAGTGACAGTGACTGAATAACAGTGACAGTGTCTGAATAAGAGTGACTGAATAACAGTGACAGTGACTGAATAACAGTGACAGTGACTGAATAACAGTGACAGTGTCTGAATAACAGTGACAGTGACTGAATAACAGTGACAGTGTCTGAATAGCAGTGACAGTGACTGAATAACAGTGACAGTGTCTGAATAAGAGTGACTGAATAACAGTGACAGTGACTGAATAACAGTGACAGTGTCTGAATAACAGTGACTGAATAACAGTGACAGTGACTGAATAACAGTGACAGTGTTTGAATAAGAGTGACTGAATAACAGTGACAGTGACTGAATAACAGTGACAGTGACTGAATAACAGTGACAATGTCTGAATAACAGTGACAGTGACTGAATAATAGTGACAGTAACTAAATAATAATGACAGTGACTGAATAACAGTGACAGTGTCTGTTTAACAGTGACAGTAACTAAATAATAATGACAGTGACTGAATAACAGTGACAGTGTCTTAGTAACAGTGACAGTAACTAAGTAACAGTGACAGTGACTGAATAAGTGACAGTGACTGAATAACAGTAACAGTGACTGAATAAGTGACAGTGACTGAATAAGTGACAGTGACTGAATAACATTGAGAGTGTCTAAATAACAGTGACAGTGTCTAAATAACAGTGACAGTGTCTAAATAACAGTGACAGTGACTGAATGACAGTGACTGAATAACAATGCCAGTGACTAAATAACAGTGACAGTGAATAACAGTGACAGTGTCTGAATAACAGTGACAGTGAATAACAGTGACAGTGTCTGAATAACAGTGACAGTGAATAACAGTGACAGTAACTGAATGACAGTGACAGTGACCGAATAACAGTGACAATGTCTGAATAACAGTGACAGTGTCTGAATGACAGTGACAGTGAATAACAGTGACAGTATCTGAATGACAGTGACAGTGAATAACAGTGACAGTGAATAACAGTGACAGTGAATAACAGTGACAGTGTCTGAATAACAGTGACAGTGAATAACAGTGACAGTAACTGAATGACAGTGACAGTGACCGAATAACAGTGACAATGTCTGAATAACAGTGACAGTGTCTGAATGACAGTGACAGTGAATAACAGTGACAGTGAATAACAGTGACAGTGTCTGAATTACTGAAAATTTTTGCAGGAAATTTGTGGCGATAACTTTTCCATATTTTATTACTTTTTATTTTGAATTTTATTATCACTGTGACCCATACGGGTTGAGCGCATTTTGTATATAAAATAACATACTATATTATTTGTTTTGAGTATATTACAATAAAACGACAGTCATTTAATAATAATAATAATAATAATAATAATAATAATAATAATAATAATAATAATAATAATAATTAACGATACTTATATTAATAAAAATTAATAATCATAATAATAACTTATAATAGGCATAATTAAAATTATTTTTATAATAACAACAATAGTATAAATCAGTGTACAGTACTTAGCAAGGTGTTCATGGTATTTTGGGGTTCGAGTTACGATGTTCTAGAGATACGATATCGTAACTCAAGAGATCACTGTACTTAAGTGTAGTTAGCTGGTCGAGACAGAGTTAATATATAGACTATGAGAGTACTCACATTGATGAAGATAGCATGATCCTGGTGGAAGAGGTGGTTCCACTTCTCAAGGAAGGCCTCGCACTGGGCCACTGTGGCAGACGATGCCTCTAATTCCTCTGCCTCTTCTGCCACCACCTCAGTTATCCTGTCCGGATAGTCATCCGTGGTGGGGTACCCGCACGATAGACACTTCCAGTTTGAAGATGGTGACAGTGGATCCTGTGGGACGATCCAGGGGCCTGGCTCCTCACTGCTTTCTGCACCGCCTTCCTTACTGGACGATTGGTCACCTTTGCTCGTTGACTGGATCTGGTTGATGCGGCTCATGACGCCTCCTGGCTTCCCTCTCGATGCTCGCCCACCTGCCTGCTTCCCCTGCGCTGCGCTCTTCTTTTTACTCTCTTCTTCAGCTTGCTTCTTGACACAGTCGGCACATATAAGTGCAGATACGTAGGTCTTTAATTCAGTGGGGTCTACACAGCGTTTGCACCTACAAATGAAATATTTTGAAGAGCGTAGATGCTCTTGTCTAGTGGCAGTGGTAGTGAGGGGGTCGGTGTAACAAGAGGTGAGGTGGTCCCCGCGTTTAATAGGAATGGCTGCTCTTACTACCAAGTTTAGATCAGCATCGAATGTCCGGTGAGTGTTGGTAACACAGTCGTGCTCCAGCATAGACGCTGTTGCATACACTCCTAAGATGCTTGAGTCTGGCAGACGGATTTCAAAACCATTGGTATCAATAATACCCAAAACCTTCTCAATTATTTCTGTGTCGAACTGTTCGAGTCTCAGTCTGTCGTGTATTATGTCAACAACAGTCTGCTGTGTGATAGCAGCGACCTCAGTGCCGTCACGCATGTCGCTGTTGCTCTCCAGCGTCATTAACTTGTTCCACACGCTCGGTGCATCGTCTCTCAGAGCTAAGATTCTCACTGGTGTGATACACTCGTACATGCTGTTAATCTCGCCAAACACTGAAACCTTGACGGGGATGCCCGAATCTCTGACGGCTTTACACTCGGCCTCGTGGTCATCTGTGTCTTCACACTGTGGGCCACACAAAGGAAACCCGCAGCTTTGACACTGGTAGTCACCGTTCACGGGGCGGTAACATCCAAGGCAGACGGGTTCCGTGATCATCTTAGGACCTAGCAGAAGGGGTTGGTCCTCTAAGAGCAGCTCTCCAGCGGCGATATCTCTAGTGGCCACCATGAACCGACCCAGTTCAGACGAACACCCGATACGCCAGGGACGGCATTTGGGCCTGTGCTTCTCCCATCCACTCAGCTGGTGATCACGGGCACAGAACCCCAGCTGCCAGCAGCCGCCACACACGATAGTGGATGGCTTCTTGCATTCTGCACAGGCTGCTGGGGTGTGGCTGTTGGTTAAGGAAGCTCCAGATGCCTGCAGAGCAATCTGCAAGGGCACAGCTGCCGGCACATCTCCACGACTCTCTCCAGGCATCTGTCAGACACAAAGTTCGTTTATATACCTATTGTACGTACATAGGTACAAATTGTAATCATTTATAGATGTACTTTAAGACATAGTAATTAAAGAGACAATTCCTCAGAGACATGTTACAGTACCATACATATACCTGGCAAATGTTACTGAAAAAATACCAATTAACCCAATGAATTATTCATAACTAGTTACTTGCAAAAATTCCATTGTTTCTCAAATAAAATATTTTACCTTTGATCATACAAAGTTGTATGCCAAATAAAGTAATACAAGCATTACAAGGTGTTCTTATTTATGCATATTTATTTCAGAAAAAATATTAATTGCTTAAAATGAGTATTTGTGAGTGATATACAAGTTAAACTACCAACAACAGACGAGAGAGAAAGACGCGCCCTCTACAGAAGACGACAAAGAGTCACTGAGCTCCTCAGGAGTGCTAGAATATCTGATACATGAAAGGAGGCGCTGACCAGGGAAGTGGAAACTATCGAACTTAAGTTAAATGACTCTTACAGGAACCAGGAGAGACAGGAGGAGCTTAAAGCTATTAGTGAAATTGAAAGAAATTCAAAATACTTATTTTCATATGCCAAAAACAAGGCAAATACCACATCTAGTATCGGGCCCTAACTCAGACAGGATGGGACTTACACAGATGACAACAAGGAAATGAGTGAAATATTGAAATCCCAGTACGACTCTGTGTTTAGTGAACCACTAATCGGTCTGAGGATCGACGACCCAAATGATTTCTTCATGAATGAGCCTCAAAACTCCATAAATGTATGCCAGATTTCCGACATTACCCTAACTCCGATAGATTTCGAAAAAGCCATTGACAACATGCCCATGCACTCAGCCCCTGGCCCAGACTCGTGGAACTCTGTTTTCATTAAGAACTGCAAGAAACCCCTCTTGCATGCCCTAAGTACACTATGGGGGAGGAGCTTGGACATGGGTGAAATTCCACAGTCATTTAAAACTACGGATATAGCCCCACTCCATAAAGGTGGCAGCAAAGCATTAGCTAAGAACTATAGACCAATAGCTCTGACGTCCCACATCATAAAAATCTTTGAAAGAGTGCTAAGAAGCAGGATTGCAAATCGCCTGGATTCCCAAAATCTGCACAATCCAGGGCAACATGAGTTCAGGAAGGTCGCTCCTGCCTCTCACAACTACTGGATCACTATGATATGGCCTTGGATGCACTGGAAGAAAATCAGAATGCAGATGTAATATACACAGACTTTGCAAAAGCATTTGACAAATGCGATCATGGCGTAATAGCCCATAAAATACGTGCTAAAGGAATAACTGGGAAAGTGGGGAGATGGATCTTCAACCTCATAACAAATCGAACACAAAGAGTAGTGGTCAACAGAGCTATATCGGAGGCTGCCATAGTGAAGAGCTCTGTTCCACAAGGCACAGTACTCGCCCCCATCTTATTCCTCATCCTCATATCAGACATAGACAGAGATATACATCACAGCACCGTATCATCCTTTGCGGATGATACTAGGATCTGCATGAGGCTGTCATCTGCTGCTGAGGACGCGGTTAACCTCCAAGAAGATATAAACAAAGTTTTCCAGTGGGCAACGGTAAACAATATGATGTTCAATGAGGACAAATTCCAATAACTCCGTTATGGAAAACTGGAGGAGATAATAACTAGAACAGAGTATACTACAGACTCTGGCCATACAATAGAGCGGAAAAATAATGGAAGGGACCTGGGAGTAGTAATGTCTGAGGATCTCACTTTCAAGGTTCGCAACAGTGCCACGATCGCACGTGCAAAGAAAATGATAAGATGGATAATGAGAACGTTCCAGACGAGAGATGCCAAGCCAGTGACGATCCTTTTCAAATCATTTGTTCTCTCTAGGCTGGAATACTGCTGTACATTAACATTCTTCTCATCAACTTCACGTCATCTGCAAACAGGGACACTTCGGAGTCTATTCCTTCCATCATGTCGATCACAAATACCAGCACTGGTCCTAGGACTGACCCCTGTGGGACCCCCGCTGGTCACAGGTGCCCACTCTGACACCTCGCCACGTACCATGACTTGCTGCTGTCTTCCTGACAAGTATTCCTTGATCCATTGTAGTGCCTTCCCTGTTATCCCTGCTTGGTCCTCCAGTTTTTGCACTAATCTCTTGTGTGAAACTGTGTCAAACGCCTTCTTGCAGTCCAAGAAAATGCAATCCACCCACCCCTCTCTCTCTTGTCTTAATGCTGTCACCATGTCATAGAACTCGAGTAGGTTTGTGACACAGGATTTCCCATCCCTGAAACTATGTTAGCTGCTGTTGATGAGATCATTCCTTTCTAGGTGTTACACCATTCTTCTCCTGATAATCTTCTCCATGACTTTGCATACTATACATGTTAGTGACACTGGTCTGTAGTTTAGTGCTTCATGTCTGTCTCCTTTTTTAAAGATTGGGACTACATTTGCTGTCTTCCATGCCTCAGGCAATCTCCCTGTTTCGATAGATGTATTGAATATTGTTGTTAGGGGTACACATAGCGCCTCTGCTCCCTCTCTCAGGACCCATGGAGAGATGTTATCCGGCCCCATTGCCTTTGAGGTATCTAGCTCACTCAGAAGCCTCTTCACTTCTTCCTTGGTTGTGGGTACTGTGTCCAGCACTTGGTGATGTTCCCCACCTCTCCGTCTTTCTGGAGCCCCTTCTGTCTCCTCTGCAAACACTTCTTTAAATCTCTTGTTGAGTTCCTCACTTACTTCATGGTCATTTCTTGTTGTCTCTCCTCCTTCCTTCCTTAGCCTGATTACCTGGTCCTTGACTGTTGTTTTCCTCCTGATGTGGCTGTATAACAGTTTTGGGTCAGATTTGGCTTTTGCTGCTATGTCGTTTTCACATTGTCGTTGGGCCTCCCTTTTTATCTGCGCATATTCATTTCTGGCTCTACGACTGCTCTCCTTATTCTCCTGGGTCTTTTGCCTTCTATATTTCTTCCATTCCCTAGCACACTTGGTTTTTTGCCTCTCTGCACCTTTGGGTGAACCATGGGCTCATCCTGGCTTTTTCATTAGTCCTGTTACCCTTGCACATTGTTGCTACATATTCCATCATCTCATTAACTGACTTCCCTGCCAGTTCTCTGTCCCACTGAACCCCGTTCAGGAAGTTCCTCATTCCCATGTAGTCCCCTTTCTTGTAGTTTGGCTTCATTCGTCCTGGCCTTCCTGCTTCCCCCTCCACTTGTAGCTCTACTGTGTATTCGAAGCTTAAAACCACATGATAGCTGGCCACAAGGGGTCTTTCGTATGTGATGTCCTCAATATCTGCTCTACTCAAGGTGATTACTAGGCTCAGTCTTGCTGGTTCATCCTCTCCTCTCTCTCTTGCAGTGTCCCTTACGTGTTGGCACATGAAGTTTTCCTGTACCACCTCCATCATCTTAGCCCTCCATGTATCTTGGCCCCCTTGTGGCTCCAAGTTCTCCCAATTGATCTCCTTGTGGTTGAAGTCACCCATGATCAGGAGCTTTGCCCTGCATGCATGAGCTCTTCTGGCCACTGCAGCCAGTGTGTCAACCATCGCTCTATTGCTCTCGTCATACTCTTGCCTTGGCCTCCTGCTGCTCTGTGGTGGAAATAAATCACTCTGTCTGACTTTTTTGGGTTATCCTAGGTTCTCTTCATATATGCTGCTATGTATGATAATTCTATGTAACTGTATTTGTGTATACCTGAATAAACTTACTTACTTACTTACCACCTTGGGACCTCCAGAGTGAAGTGTTCCTGCTATGTAATCGCTTGTTTCTCTGCTGTCTCCTCCCTCCTGCTCATCAAAATTCCATCGGTTTTTGATCAGCAGTGCCACTCCTCCACCCCAGCCCCTGTTCCCTCTGTCTTTCCTCGGGATCTGGTATCCCATTGGAAAGATGGCATCTGTTATCATACATGTAAGCTTGGTTTCTGTGAGAGCTATGATGTCCGGTGATGCCTCTTTGACTATTTCGTGCCACTCCTCCCACTTATTTGTTATTCAATCAGCGTTTGTGTACCATACCTTCAGTTTCCTTTCCAACACTGTGGTTTGGGGGCCTGTGAGGGTGGGAGACCTGGCAGCATACTTTGTGTGTGTGTGTGTGTGTGTGTGTGTGTGTGTGTGTGTGTGTGTGTGTGTGTGTGTGTGTGTGTGTGTGTGTGTGTGTGTGTGTGTGTGTGTGTTCACCTGTTTCTGTTGCAGGGGTCGAGTCATAACTCCTGGCCCCGCCTCTTCACTTATTGCTACTAGGTCCTCTGCCTCCACCTTAGCCTCCATCTCAGCCTCCACCTCAGCCTCCACCACTGCCTCCACCTCGGCCTCCACCTCAGCCTCCACCTCAGCCTCCACCTCGGCCTCTACCTCAGCCTCCACCACAGCCTCCACATCTGCCTCCACCTCAGAATCCACCTCAGCCTCCATCTCTGCCTCCACCTTTGCCTCCACCTGAGCCTCCACCTATGCCTACACCTCATCCTCCACCTCGGCCTCCAACTCAGCCTCCACCTCTGAATCCACCACAGCCTCCACCTCAGCCACCATCTCTGTCTCCACCTCAGCCTCCACCTCAGCCTCCACCTTTGCCTCCACCTCAGCCTCCACCTCTGCCTCCACCACAGCCTCCACCTCTGCCTCCACCTCAGCCTCCACCTCAGCCCCAACCTCTGCCTACACCTCAGCCTCCACCTCTGCCTCCACCACAGCCTCCACCTTTGCCTCCACCTCAGAATCCTCCTCAGCCTCCACCTATGCCTCCATCTCAGCCTTCACCTCTGCCTCCACCTCAGCCTCCACCTCAGCCTCCACCTCAGCCTCCACCTCAGCCTCCACCTCAGCCTCCACTTCAGCCTCCACCTCAGCCTCCACCTCAGCCTCCACCTCAGCCTCCACCTTAGCCTCCACCTCAGCCTCCACCTGGTCACACTCCCTCACCATAGTGACTGGTCACACTCACTATAGTGACTGGTCACACTCTCTATAGTGACTGGTCACACTCACTATAGTAACTTGTCACACTCACTATAGTGACTGGTCACACTCACTATAGTGACTTGTCACACTCACTATAGTGAGTGGTCACACTCACTCACTATAGTGACTGGTCACACTCACTCACTATAGTGACTGGTCACACTCACTCACTATAGTGACTGGTTACACACACTATAGTAACTGGTCATACTCACTATAATGACTGGTCACACTCACTATAGTGACTGGTCACACACACTATAGTAACTGGTCACACTCACTATAGTGACTGGTTACACACACTATAGTAACTGGTCACACTCACCATAGTGACTTGTCACACTCACTATAGTGACTTGTCACACTCACTATAGTGACTTGTCACACTCACTATAGTGACTTGTCACACCCACTATAGTGAGTGGTCACACTCACTATAGTGACTGGTCACACTCACTATAGTGACTGGTCACACTCACTATAGTGACTGGTCACACTCACTATAGTGACTTGTCACACTCACTATAGTGACTTGTCACACCCACTATAGTGAGTGGTCACACTCACTATAGTGACTGGTCACACTCACTATAGTGACTGGTCACACTCACTATAGTAACTTGTCACACCCACTATAGTGAGTGGTCACACTCACTATAGTGACTGGTCACACTCACTATAGTGACTGGTCACACTCACTATAGTGACTTGTCACACTCACTATAGTGACTTGTCACACCCACTTATAGTGAGTGGTCACACTCACTATAGTGACTGGGTCAAACTCACTATATGACTGGTCACACTCACTATAGTGGACTTGTCACAACCCACTATAGTGAGTGGTCACACTCACTATAGTGACTGGTCACACTCACTATAGTGACTTGTCACACTCACTATAGTGACTGGTCACACTCACTATAGTGACTTGTCGCACCCACTATAGTGAGTGGTCACACTCACTCACTAAAGTGACTGGTCACACTCACTCACTATAGTGACTGGTCACACACACTATAGTAACTGGTCATACTCACTATAGTGACTGGTCACACACACTATAGTAACTGGTCATACTCACTATAGTGACTGGTCACACTCACTATAGTGACTGGTCACACTCACTATAGTGACTGGTTACACACACTATAGTAACTGGTCATACTCACTATAGTAACTGGTCACACTCACTATAGTGACTGGTTACACACACTATAGTAACTGGTCATACTCACTATAGTAACTGGTCACACTCACTATAGTGACTTGTGACACTACAGGGACTGGTCACACTGACTATAATAACTGGTCACACTCACTCTAGTGACTGTTCACACTCACAATAGTGACTGGTCACACTCTAGTGAATGGTCACACTCACTATAAAGACTGGTCATACTCACTATAGTGACTGGTAAAAAGTCTAGTGACTGGTCACACTTACTGTAGTGACTGGTCACACTCTAGTAACTGATCACCCCTCACCCTAGTAACTAGTCACACTCACTACAGTGACTGCTCACACTGAATATTGTAACTGGTCACACTCACTGTAATAACTGGTCACTCTCACTATAGTGACTGGTCACACTCTAGTGACTGGTCACACTCACTATAGTAACTGGTCACACTATAGTAACTGGTCACACTCACTATAATAACTGGACACACTCTAGTGACTGGTCACACTCACTATGTTAACTGGTCACACTCACTATAGTGACTGGTCACACTCTAGTGACTGGTCACACTCTAGTGACTGGTCACACTCACTATAATAACTGATCACACTCACTATATTAACTGGTTACACTCACTATAATAACTGGTCACACTCTAGTGACTGGTCACACTCACTATAATAACTGGTCACACTCACTATATTAACTGGTTACACTCACTATAATAACTGGTCACACTCTAGTGACTGGTCACACTCACTATAATAACTGGTCACACTCAATATAACTGGTCACACTCACTATAATAACTGGTCACACTCACTTAATAACTGGTCACACTCACTAAAAATAACTGGTCACACTCACTATAATAACTGGTCACACTCACTATAATAACTGGTCCCCCACTAAAACTCACTATAATAACTGGTCACACTCACTATAATAACTGGTCACACTCACTATAATAACTGGTCACACTCACTATAATAACTGGTCACACTCACTATAATAACTGGTCACACTCACTATAATAACTGGTCACACTCACTATAATAACTGGTCACACTCACTATAATAACTGGTCACACTCACTATAATAACTGGTCACACTCACTATAATAACTGGTCACACTCACTATAATAACTGGTCACACTCACTATAATAACTGGTCACACTCACTATAATAACTGGTCACACTCACTATAATAACTGGTCACACTCACTATAATAACTGGTCACACTCACTATAATAACTGGTCACACTCACTATAATAACTGGTCACACTCACTATAATAACTGGTCACACTCACTATAATAACTGGTCACACTCACTATAATAAACTGGTCACACTCACTATAATAACTGGTCACACTCACTATAATAACTGGTCACACTCACTATAATAACTGGTTCACACTCACTATAATAACTGGTCACACTCACTATAATAACTGGTCACACTCACTATAATAACTGGTCACACTCACTATAATAACTGGTCACACTATAAGTGGTCACACTATAACTTGTAAAAGATAAATAAGTTTTAAACATTTTAACTTATGTTTTCTCCTGGCTGGGTTGGTAGCGCACTCGCCTAACTCACTCAGTCCGAGATCGATCCCCGGCACGGGTGAAACGTTATGACTGTTGTGCTGCCCCTGATACTGTCACTTTTCGATTAGCAGTTAGTAGGTACCTGGGTCTTTGTCACTTTACACCTACTGTCCCTGTTCACCTACTATCTGGTGCCCCGGTGGCCCGGTGGCCTGGTGGCTAAAGCTCCCGCTTCACACACGGAGGGCCCGGGTTCGATTCCCGGCGGGTGGAAACATTTCGACACGTTTCCTTACACCTGTTGTCCTGTTCACCTAGCAGCAAATAGGTACCTGGGTGTTAGTCGACTGGTGTGGGTGGCATCCTGGGGGACAAGATTAAGGACCCCAATGGAAATAAGTTAGACAGTCCTCGATGACGCACTGACTTTCTTGGGTTATCCTGGGTGGCTAACCCTCCGGGGTTAAAAATCCGAACGAAATCTTATCTTATCTTATTAAGTAGGTACATATTTATTAGTCACTTTACACCTGCTGCCCAATTTCACCTAACAGTAAGTAGGTACCTGGGTGTTAGTCATCTTACAACTGCTGTCCCTGTTCATCTACCAGTAAGTAGGTACCTGGGTGGAAGTCACCTTACACCTGCTGTCCCTGTTCATCTAGCAGTAAGTAGGTACCTGGGTGTTAGTCACCTTACACCTGCTGTCCTTGTTCATCTACCAGTAAGTAGGTACCTGGGTGGAAGTCACCTTACACCTGCTGTCCCTGTTGATCTAGCAGTAAGTAGGTACCTGGGTATTAGTCACCTTACACCTGCTGTCCCTGTTCATCTACCAGTAAGTAGGTACCTGGGTGTTAGTCACCTTACACATGCTGTCCCTGTTCATCTAGCAGTAAGTAGGTATGTTAGTGTTGGTCACCCTACATCCACTGTCCGTGTTCACCTAGCAGTAAATAGGTACCTGGATGTTAGTCTCCTTACGCCAGGTACTGTCACTGTTGGCCTAGCAGTAAGCGGATATCTGGGTGTTAGTCACCCTTCACCTGCTGACCTTACTCACCTACCAGTAAATAGGTACCTGCCTGTTAGCCACCTTATACCTGCTGTCCTTGCTCACCTAGCAGTAAGGAGATACCTGGGTGTTAGTTTCTTCACACTTGCTGTACGTGCTCACCTAGCAGTAATTATGTACCTTAGTGTTAGTCACCTTACACTCTCTGTCCCTGTTCACCTAGCAGTAAGTAGGTGCCTGGATGTTAGTCGACTGTTGTGGGTGGCATCCTGGGACGACAAGATTAACCCAAGTTGCCAGAAATGTTGTACATAACCAGGGATTTTCTGTACAGTATGTTAATTATGTCAGCTTCCTCATCACTCTCCACCTGACTCTCCACCTGACTCTCCACCTGACTCTCCACCTGACTCTCCACCTGACTCTCCACCTGACTCCCCACCTTACTCTCCACCTGACTCTCCACCTGACTCTCCACCTGACTCTCCACCTGACTCTCCACCTGACTCTCCACCTGACTCCCCACCTTACTCTCCACCTGACTCTCCACCTGACTCTCCACCTGACTCTCCACCTGACTTTCCACATGACTCTCCACCTGACTCTCCACCTGACTCCCCACCTTACTCTCCACCTGACTCTCCACCTGACTCTCCACCTGACTCTACCCACCTGACTCTCCACCTGACTCTCCACCTGACTCTCCACCTGACTCTACCCACCTCACTCTCCACCTCACTCTACCCACCTCACACTCCACCTGACTCTCCACCTGACTCTCCACCTGACTCTCCACCTCACTCTCCACCTCACTCTCCACCTCACTCTCCACCTCACTCTCCACCTTACTCTCCACCTGACTCTACCCCCCTCACTCTCCACCTCACTCTCCACCTCACTCTCCACCTCACTCTCCACCTCACTCTCCACCTCACTCTACCCACCTCACTTTCCACCTCACTCTCCACCTCACTCTCCACCTCACTCTCCACTCACTCTCCACCTCACTCTCCACCTCACTCTCCACCTCACTCTCCACCTCACTCTCCACCTCACTCTACACCTCACTCTCCACCTCACTCTCCACCAGACTCTCCACCTCACTCTCCACCTCTCTCCACCTGACTCTACCCACCTCACTCTCCACCTCACTCTCCATCTGACTCTACCCACCTCACTCTCCACCTCACTCTCCACCTCACTCTCCACCTTACTCTACCCACCTCACTCTCCACCTCACTCTCCACCTGACTCTACCCACCTCACTCTCCACCTCACTCTCCACCTTACTCTACCCACCTCACTCTCCACCTCACTCTCCACCTCACTCTCCACCTCACTCTCCACCTCACTCTCCGCCTCACTCTCCACCTCACTCTCCACCTCACTCTCCACCTCACTCTCCACCTCACTCTCCACCTCACTCTCCACCTCACTCTACCCACCTCACTCTCCACCTCACTCTCCACCTCGCTATGCTCCCTGTGTGTACTCATGTACTCTGCCCAGGTAGATCTGTTTGTCATGATAAAGTCCACTGTGTGGGCGAAACGTTGTCAATAAAAAATTGCATAATACTGTATTTGTGTTCGTTTTTCCATCGTGTCTCACGATATCATAACAACACGATTGCAAACCAGGGAACGGGTGGGGTTTGAACTTGTGGCAAGTTGAGTCTTAAAACTTACAGCTGGCCGGGTGGTTAACGCACTGGCCTGTGAATTTTAAGACTCGCCTGCCGTGAGTTCAATCCCCACCCGTTCCTTGATTCCAAGTGAGAATTCTCTTACCTTGCTGGAATGCGTCTTTTATATTCGTGACACTAACTGATTATGATTTAAGTTTCGTTTGATCAGACACTTAAGTGTTGCAGCACCTAGTTCACTATTCACTGTCAGTTTGTGTGTGTTGGTAGTAGATACGAGGAGAGTAGTGAAGTTCGGGGCAGCTAGTCCCACACTGGCGGCACCAGGGCCTGGCACCCACGCCTGGCACCACACCCGGCACCTCAGTTTGGCACCGCACGCCCCCTAACCTACAGAAGTCTGGCACACCTATAGCTCTCTCTCTCTCTCTCTCTCTCTCTCTCTCTCTCTCTCTCTCTCTCTCTCTCTCTCTCTCTCTCTCTCTCTCTCTCTCTCTCTCTCTCTCTCTCTCTCTCTCTCTCTCTCTCTCTCTCTCTCTCTCTCTCTCTCTCTCTCTCATGTGAGCACTCACAACACAAAGCGTCAGGAGTACATTAATAAATAACGACTCCATGGCTGGAACAACGCACATGTGACCCACAAATCATGTTAGAATGGTATACAATGCCTAGGTATCTCTGTTAACGAAACGCTTCGCCTGTTCAGCAGACTTCATCACTCGAAAATGGAAGTGATCACAATACTAGAGACAGTTGAAGTGGAGGTGATCAGTCCGTCAGCCTTGACGGAATATAACAGTTACCCAGCATGGTTTATATCAGTTAGTTTCGCCCAGTTGTGACACCATCTTCAAGTTGCTTACACCTTTCTTCTGGTTCAGACTATCTGACTGCTTACTTCTTCCCCACCACTGTCTCCAGACTGAAGAAGCCTGCTGCGCAGACGCAATGTTCCGTCAATGAAGATCCTAAGTGTTGCACATATCTTACTCGTCCAAACTAAGTCTGAGTTGTTCACTGTGAGGCAGATTATGACGACATAACACATTATCGTACTCAGTGAAAAAAAAGTGTACATAAAAAACTATCGAGAAAAGAGACTAATTTAGACGATATACTTGTGTGCGTATCTTGCACACTGTAACAGCAGTATGGAAGATGTTGTTGTATTATTTATCTCGCCTCTGGTTGAGTAAGTAAAGACACCTGCACACTCACAGGCCTGGGCAACAGACTTGCTTAATCTGGCGAGTCACTAACTCTTGCTCCACCCGTACAGAGTCTTGGAGGCTTTCCAATATTACAACATCAGGTAGTAGTGGCAGTCTGCGCCAGGACTCACGCAAAAAGTAGCTTAACTCATAATCTAAATGTAGCAACCCAACAGCTATTTTGAACAGACAAAGCACTTGTAGTCTAGGAGTGTTTGTTTACCCCAACGTAGAGAGAATCAATGCAAATGTGAGGGATCATAGCTATAGTTCTCGCACGAATATCACAACTCGTTTATTTACCGTTATTCCAAGCCTACCTAAACTCAGCCTAGCACACTTATCATGTGTCGGTTATTTTGTGTCCGAGAGGCTTAGCTAGGCTTCTGATTTATTTTCGGTATTAATTCCTCCAGTTTTCACCCAGTATGGAGATGCCAAACTCAAAATATTTTCAAAATTCCGTGGAGTGTTGGCCACATTGCTGAGCTGCTGCTCGTACTGTCTACTGGCCAGTGTCAAGACAGCCATCTTTTGCTCTGTAGTGGCCACCTAGTCTGTAGAGTTAATATTGGCCACCTAGTCTGTAGAGTTAATATTGGCCACCTAGTCTGTATATCAAAACTAATTTGCGTATCAAAGTGGGGTTCAATGATACTCTTCGGAAGCTTCCTACTTTATTTGCAGTTCTTGGTACACAGGCAGTGTGTTTAAGTGGCCCTGGCCCAGGAGGGCCATGCCAAGTGAGGGAGAAAGGAATAGGCCTTGTTAACTCTAGGTTACGTTGACACCGAGTGAGAGGGATGCAGAATGATACGGGTCGAAGTGGTATACCCACCAGGCTTGCCCTCTGGTGGCAACTAACTATAAAAACTAGACATGTAGACTTACAGTCTACATTTCGCTCAGCCACCACTACCATGGTCGTCCTCGATCATGATTGGCTGTAAAAAAAACAACTGTCTCTCTCTCGCAGGAACAGGGCACAGAACACAGAATTAACATATATATATATATATATATATATATATATATATATATATATATATATATTATATATATATATATATATATATATATATATATATATATTATATATATATATATATATATATATATATATATATATATATATATATATATATATATATATATATATATATATATAATATATATATATATATATATATATATATATATATATATATATATATATATATATATATTTATATATATATATATATATATATATATATATATATATATATATATATATATATGCACGTGGAGATGGAAAAAAAGAACTTCCAACAGGGAGGGAAGACAACAAAAAGGTGGGGGTTTGGTGCATTGTGGTCCAAGGCAGTGAGAGTTGGTGAGCTTCACTGCCTGCCTTCCTGCGTCTGGACAGATACTGAAACACAGGAGACATGGCTGTGGCTGAGCTGTGACGAAACAGGGTACGGTCTCCTCTGGAACGGTGAAGGAGTCATCATGGAGTAGTCACTGCAGGGTTCACTCATCCTGGAGCATAACATGCTGGTGCCCTTGAGTGAGGCGTCGTCAGTACTCGGGAACTGGGCAGAACTTCTTCTGACGAGTGACTCAGGAGGACATTTCTCAACTGGTACTGTCACTGGGGCTGCCACTGCCAGTGAGTGCAGATGACTCGGCGAAACATCTGGGAGTCATAGCAGCATGCACCGTAACTAAAGTGAGGGGGCTAGAAATCAAAGTGACATCATCTTTGTGCAGGCTGCTCACTGAAGCTATGACACAAGTTAGACAGTCGCTTGCCGACAGGGCTACTGCAGCGTGACAAGTGTCATTCTTTCGACAGTTGGAGTTATAGCAGAGGTTAGTCTACGTGTCCTCAGACTGGTTCTCTACATATAACTGCACTCTGACGTTCAGGAGGTGGAGTGAAATGAGTCTCAACTGAGAATCGTAGGTAGGACTTGGCAGGGCATCTGCAAACGGCGAAAGAGTTTTCTGTACAAGGGGGCTCAGATGCTCGTAACTGACGCCTGGACTGACTAATGTCAGCTGTCACTGGTCAAGGGTATAACACAGGGGTGCTACCAGTGGTGGGCTCAAAACATACTATAATAAACACAGCTGGGCTCAGATCACTTAATCTCCGACACATGTAAAACTTGTATACACCTACTGCACATGCAGTACGACATGGCTTGCACTAGTAAATGATACTTTTCTGTGTAAAAAATCGACACTAAGCCATGCACGAATATGTGAAAACACTGACTGAGGGAAATTAACATGAGACATATAACTGACTCAAGAAATCGTAATGACACGATTGCAAACAAACCATACCCCCGGCCGGGATTGAACCCGCCGTCAACATGCCGTCAACATGACGGCATGTTGACGGCAGTGAAGGGACTTGAGCTAGAGTTCGTCACGGCCACGCTAGCTGGAGATTCGTCTGTAAAAACTTGCATTTGTGGTCACAGTGGTGCCTATGCTAACCTTCCTATGGTGTAGAAATATACCTAGTTGGATGAATCTTATTGTGGCTAGCTGGTCTAGTGGCTAACGCGACGGGCTGGAGTTTTGAGACTATGACCGCGGGTTCAATCCCGGCCGGGGGTATGGTTTATGAGACATATAGCTTCTCTCAATCTTCTTGACAACACTGAAACAATTTGCTCTCTGTGAAACTATAACACTGTCGATGTGGCGTCATGTGGTGATGTCAGGCGTGACGTCGTGAGATCATATCATGGAGTGACATCGTGAGGTAACGTCAGGCAGCATGGTGACGTCAGCAGACGTCGTGAGGTGACGTTGGCAACGTCCTGGAATGACAGGCAGCATGGTGGCGTCAGTGAAGTTGGGGAACATCGTGAAGTCGGGCAGCATCATGACATCAGGGAAGTGATGCAGGCAGCATGGTGACATCATGGATTGATGTGGGCAGCAGTGTCGGTGACGTCATGAGGTGATGGAGGCAGCAGACCACAGCATGGCTTGGGATCTGGCTTGTTAACCCACGTGGCTTGTAGATCCATATGGCTCATGGATCCACATGGCTTGTAGATCCACGTGGCTTCGAGTGACCTCGGGCACTCGGATACACAGCTCTGGCAAAGAATTCACACTGAATTTACAGAGAAACAGCAAAGAGGAAGTGTGACGGTGAGTGGTGTAGTGTGGTGGCGTATGGTGAGCGTGAATGAGGCAAAGACTGCCGCGTCCTCCTCCCTACCAACACACTTGGAAGATAGTGCCGATTCTACCACACTGGGCAAAGAAATAACCACAAACTCACCTCTGACTTGCTGAAATAGCCGTGCTGAGCTGAACAACAAACAACACCAGAAATATACAGGTGATGCTGAACACATGACTGAGAAACAGCATGGGACGCTGTGGGATGAAGTCGCAGGGAATGTCTGGAGTTTACCTGGAGATAGTTCCGGAGGTCAACGCCCCCGCGGCCCGGTCTGTGGCCAGGCCTCCTGGTGGATCAGAGCCTGATCAACCAAGCTGTTACTGCTGGCTGCATGCAGTCCAACGTACGAGCCACAGCCCGGCTGGTCAGGTACAGACTTTAGGTGCTTGTCCAGTGCCTGCTTGAAGACAGCCAGGGGTCTACTGGTAATCCCCCTTATGTATGCTGGGAGGCAGTTGAACAGTCTCGGGCCCCTGACACTTATTTTATTGTTTCTTAACGTGTTAGTGACACCCCTGCTTTTCATTGGGGGGATGTTGCATCGTCTGCCAAGTCTTTTGCTTTCGTTGTAAGTGATTTTCGTGTGCAAGTTCGGTACTAGTCCCTCTAGGATTTTCCAGGTGTATATAACCATGTATCTCTCCCGCCTACGTTCCAGGGAGTACAGGTTCAGAAACTTTAAGCACTCCCAGTAGTTGAGGTGTTTTGTCTCTGTTATGCGTGCCGTGAAGGTTCTCTGTACATTTTCTAGGTCAGCAATTTCACCTGCCTTGAAAGGTGCTGTTAGTGTGCAGCAATATTCCAGCCTAGATAGAACAAGCGACCTGAAGAGTGTCATCATGGGCATGGCATCCCTAGTTTTGAAGGCTCTCATTATCCATCCTGTCATTTTTCTAGCAGATGCGATTGACACAATGTTATGGTCCTTGAAGGTGAGATCCTCCGACATGATCACTCCCAGGTCTTTAACGTTGGTTTTTCGCTCTATTTTGTGGAAGGAATTTGTTTTGTACTCTGATGAAGTTTTAATTTCCTCATGTTTACCATATCGGAGTAATTGAAATTTCTAATCGTTGATTTTCATATTGTTTTCTGCAGCCCACTGAAAGATTTGGTTGATGTCCGCCTGGAGCCTTGCAGTGTCTGCAATGGAAGACACTGTCATGCAGATTCGGGTGTCATCTGCAAAGGAAGACACGGTGCTGTGGCTGACATCCTTGTCTATGTCAGATATGAGGATGAGGAACAAGAAGGGAGCGAGTACTGTGCCTTGTGGAACAGAGCTTTTCACCGTAGCCGCCTCAGACTTCACTCTGTTGACTACTCTTTGTGTTCTGTTTGTGAGGAAATTATAGATCCATCTACCAACTTTTCCTGTTATTCCTTTAGCACGCATTTTGTGCGCTATTACGCAAAGTCTGTGTATATTACATCTGCATTCTTTTTGTCTTCTAGTGCATCTAGGACCTTGTCGTAGTGATCCAGTAGCTGAGACAGACAGGAGCGACCTGCTCTAGACCCATGTTGCCCTGGGTTGTGTAATTGATGGGTATCTAGATGGGTGGCGATCTTGCTTCTTAGGACCCTTTCAAAGATTTTTATATGGGATGTTAGTGCTATCGGTCTGTAGTTCTTTGCTATTGCTTTACTGCCCCCCTTTGTGGAGTGGGGCTATGTCTGTTGTTTTTAGTAACTGTGGGACGACCCCCGTGTCCATGCTCCCTCTCCATAGGATGGTAAAAGCTCGTGATAGGGGCTTCTTGCAGTTCTTGATGAACACGGAGTTCCATGAGTCTGGTCCTGGAGCAGAGTGCATGGGCATGTCATTTATCGCCTGTTCGAAGTCATTTGGCGTCAGGATAATATCAGATAGGCTTGTGTTAACCAAATTCTGTGGCTCTCTCATAAAAAATTCATTTTGATTTTCGACTCTCAGTCTGGTTAGCGACTTGCTAAAAACTGAGTCATATTGGGACTCGAGTAGCTCACTCATTTCCTTGCTGTCATCTGTGTAGGACCCATCTTGTTTAAGTAGGAGCCCAATACTGGATGTTGTTCTCGACTTTGATTTGGCACAGGAGAAGAAATACTTTGGGTTTCTTTCGATTTCATTTATGGCTTTTAGTTTTTCCCGCGATTCCTGACTCCTATAAGATTCCTTTAGCTTAAGTTCGATGCTTGCTATTTCTCTGACCAGTGACTCCCTACGCATTTCAGATATATTGGCCTCTTTTAACCGCTCTGTTATTCTTTTCCGTCGCCTGTAAAGGGAGCGCCTGTCTATTTCTATTTTACATCTACTCCTCCTTTTTCTTAAAGGAATAAGCCTTGA